CTCATATGTGAGGCAAACAAGCAAAATTAACTATTGGGTCAACCTTGCCCATAAGACACAGCTTACTGTGAGCAACTCCACAAGAAGACCTTTGGGAGCTCTTTACTTTCAGGACATGCAAAGAGCTCCATGTCTGTGAAAATGCTGCACCCTTGGTGCAGCCAGCCAGGACCACTGCAGCAGGCAGGGCAGGGCAGCTGACACACCGGGGTTTGCCCTATGCAAATACTTCTTGTGCCCAGGGAGCACAGAAACCACAACTGCAGCTCTGCCAGTGGGGTGGAAGGTGTCACATCCAGAGGCAGCAATGGGCACTCAGCTGACCTCAAGCAAACAAAGCCTAAGTGGAATGTGGTATCCTCAATTCCATCTTTGGTTTCAAGTGACTAAGTGAAGAGATGCATGAAATTCATATTGAGTCCCCAGACTACTACATGCATAGAGCTACAGCTCTCTCTAAGCTGCCTCAGCCAGCCATAAAGGTAGCTGGGCTTTGGCCATGCAGAATTCCCACAGATTTCAATGGGAATTTCAGTGTTCCAGTCTGGACTCCAAGAATGCAGTGCTGGACCCAGATCTCTGATGGCTGGAGCCGTATTCAATATCAGCGTCTGGCAACACCCATTTGTAAAACAGTGACTCATTCACAGGCAGAACTTTAGAGGGACAGACAGGATGACTTTAATCATTTCCATTTTGTTAACAAAGCTCAGTAAGACCAGATGAGCATCCTGGATGATAATACTTGGTATTAACCTAATGATTGCACTGATCCACTGCCACAGTTAGGAATAGTTTTATATCCTACAGAATGCATGGTTTTCATTTGCTTCCAGAACATAGCAACTAATGGACTTCTCAGGCTAAGGAAAAAATAATTTTTAAACACTCATGAATTTATTTAGGAACAGGGTTTTTTTTCTGAAAATCAGAAGCATGGAAATAAATTACAGAAATTAATTTGCCAAAGAACGTCTTCAAAAGTACCTAAGTGACTCAGGAGCCTGAGACATCAGATAAATCAGCTGCCATTAACACTTTCCATTCATTGTAAACAAGAGAACAAGTGTTTTGTGTAATGGACTGTATAGGGAGGGAAATTTAATTCAGCCAGCTATTACTGCAAGGTGCTTATTTGTGCACAGTCCTTTCCTTAGACCTGTTGGGTTTAGATTTAAATATACAGTTTTAAGTCTTTCCTCAGCATAAATCCTCAGACCTGAGAGAAAGCATCTGAAAGCAAATTGCTAAAGCTGGAATTTGGCACTGGGTTTTTACTCAAGATTTATTTTAAAGAATGGGCTGTCTTCAGGGCACCATTTTTCCAGATCACATCTGGCTAACCCTTTTAACATATTAAGGATGCAATTCCCTGGCAGATTTGCAAAAAGATGCAATTCCATCTGCAAATGCTCCAAGATGCCCTGGTGGAAGCTACCTCTGATCCTAAAGTCTAGTAACTGCAACCCTCGGATTCTGATCCCAAATTAATATGCTCTGCTTCCCAGCAGAACTTATCAGTTCAGGGGCCCAGCCACATACTAATGATGGCTACATAGAATCCCATTCCCAGGCAGCTTTCATCCAGCCAGCTTGGAGCATGGACAGAGTGAGTTCATATCTGCCTGCCAAATTCTGAGTAGACGTACCTTCAGTGACTCAAGCAGTTAGGAGTAGAAATGCAGGATGATCTTGAGCAATATTCTCACAGTTCAGTAAAGGCTGGCTTTGCTCACTAATTTGAAAAGCCTGCCAGAGCGTGGTAGTTCCCTTTGCTTTCTGGATTGATTTGATTATTCCTTACTTTGAGTATCAAAACTTTTCCTGGTTGACACTTTCCCAACTTCACAGTAAGTCTTGCTCCACTAAGACAGAGTGATCTGCTCAAGAGCATGTGTTCCTTCAGGAGTTGACTCCTCAAGAGGATATAAAATCAACAAGTGCACTACCTTTCATTAACTTAATTTCCTATATTCTGTAGGGTGACAGGTCCCTAGCACCTCACAAAGTATTACTGAATGGATGAGATAGACACATTTAAATTCAGCACTGCAGTCTGAAAACCATCTGGTTAAGATCATGACAATTAGGCAAAACATGAGATTTCCTACAACAGCATCCATCTTAGAAATAAGATAAACATCAGATACTTCAGTAGAATTAAACTTTCTACAATGCATACAAATCCTACTGCTTTATCTTGCTATAGTAAAATGTATAAATGGGAGATAATAACTGGATTGCTTCTGAATGTTGTCCACTTTCAGCTACTGTTCCAGCCTACTGTGCAGTTCCATCATGTCTGTTCCAGCCCTTTCTCGATCTCAGGCCATTGGTGTGAAAATGGTGGTTTTTACTCACCATTTTTATAGCAAAACGCATAACATAAAGTTTGTCCGCCACCTCTACCCACTGCATATCTAAGTTAATGCAATAAATCAAGTGGAAACTACCTGCTCGGAGATCTGCAGTACTTCTGATCTCAGATGGTATCAGGAGTTAAAGGTAAGACAGAGAATTCATACAAACCACTTCTCCCTACCCTTCCAAACATTCTCTGCTTTCTTCTCAGTTTTCTCCTCCACCATCATAACAGAACTCCATCACAGTTACATTCTATGACCAAAACCAAAAAACCTATTTAATCTTTCAACAACAATTCATTTAATTTTGGTTTTTGATGACCCCAGTATGATTCATTTTCCACGTCATCTTAGTAGTCATTTTTTTTTTAGTAGTATATTTGTCCAGACTCATTCTTGTCCATACCAGTATCTGTAGTTCATTTATTATTTATATTTTTAAATCATAGGGATAATTTCTCCAGGCTTATACAACACTTCTAGTTGGGCAACACCAGCCTGTCAACACCTTCTTTTCCTTTTTGCAGAAATTCTTCCATCATGACTGCAGCATCCATACGTATTCCAACTTTTGCATAACCTTGTCCACTGTCTCTAGTATTCACTTAAATTTGAATTTGTCCTTTTCAATTTGCTTTAAACAGAGTCTGTAGCAGTCCATCCAATTCAGCAAAATCCTTCTTTAGGACTAGTAATGGTGTTAAGACATTGGGATTTTCATGCTTTGCTTAATGCATTTTCTCCTGCACCTCTTGATTTCAGTTACTTTCTGCTAATACTTTCCTTCCAGCCTGGGTAGCAAGGCAGCGGCAGATCTTATTGCAGCAGCATAAAACTATATTTAGTCAGTTTTGTGTTGTGACAATAAGCTAACAGGTTTGAAAATTAAGGTGAATTCTTTGAACACATTTTATACCTACAAATTGTTCATATTCTCTGACAAAGCTGTCTAGGAACCCTAATCTGAAAATGTGCAAGAACTATAATGACAAAACCCCTCAAACGTTTAATATCCTACAAATATGTGTTTACAGGTTGAAAAAAGTAAATACTTCTTTCTTCTTTTACTGTCCTATTTAGCTTTTTCCTTTCTCTTGCCTCAGTTAATACTAAAAGACCTGCAGAGATGAAAGCATGATGTCTGTGACACTCTGATGTATGGCCCAGGTGCAATTCACACTGATGTCCTGAGCATATCTTCCTCTACTGCACAGGCTGAGAAACCATCTAGATTGTGTTCAACAACAAAGGAGTTTTCTTTTTACTCTGCCCCTGGCTTAAATGACAATGTCACTGAGCATTTGTGATCACAGTTTGTTATTTGCATCGCTTGTTTATGTACAGCAATATAAGGTGGGTAGCACACACTGCCTCTCACTTATTTTCATAAGCTGAAACTAATTAATGTTTTGCATGCCATGGATAAGAGGACAGCTGGAAATCATCAAGGGGAAATGCAAGCAGTACATGAACTGTTTCTTCAGTCAGCTGTTTCACTGCCCAAGGCACACACAGGCAACTCACAGCTTTGTCTCTCAGGTCCAGTCCTGCTTTGCTCTGTCACTCAGAAGTCAATACAAGTATCCCAACTTTGCAGTGGTATAACAGAGAACATACTTGGGCCCAAATATCCTCTTGGTACTTCAAACATTCTGGTTCTATCAGAACTTGAGACTTAAAGCCTTCTGGTGACATGGACAATCAGGATAAATTAGCAATTAATACTACATAATTGCTTTAGACTATTCTCAGAAATCTCTTCCAACTCACAAATAAAAGTTCACATACTCAAGCCACAAGTCTCAGACTACATACTCCATCAATAGACATATCTTGTCACATCTCCCGGAGGCCAAACACAGGGTTTGTCTTAACCATAAGGAATAGAAGCAGAGAGCTGAGGTTCACTGCAAATGCCATCTTACTGGTCTTCATTATCCAGGCCTGGGAACAGTTATCCAGAATGCTTCTGCTAATCTCAGTTTCTGGTTAGTTCTCCCTCACTTAACCCTGAACCTTTCACATACACATGAAGACAAACACCCAAAGTTCTACATGCTAAGACTTAAGCAAACACATTTTTTGCCAGGTGGCATAGGCCAATAACCTGCAAAGGTCCACACCCACACAGAATTACACAATGGACCACACGTAGTTTGGAGTATGCCATTTGCCTATCACTAAGAATTATCAGGCACCAGTCATTTCCAGAAACTGTTTGCTGGTCTCAACAGATCAGTTAAACTACATTTATTTTTGCTCTAAGCAATACCTTCTATGCCTGTCATTCATACCAATTTGTGAGTTCACTCAGATACCCTTTTCCAGGTCCTCAAACTCAGTAACATTTAATTCACCAAGTGGAATTTCTCTGGCTCTTCTCTGCAATCCTAATTTCAACTTTTATCCTGATGAGCTGCCAGAGACAGAGTCTACTCCACAGGGATCCCAAATGCTACAGCCCACTGCAGCCCAACACTACATGACAGCAAATATTTTGAAAGAAAGAAAAGATTCCAAAAAACATCATAGGAGCCTTAGCACTCCAAAATGTGAATTCATACGTCAGTTGTAACATGTTCAAGCCTCGACACTCGGCCAATGCACAGACCTCCCCAAAGGCTGAGCATGAGGTACCTGGCTGGTGTCTTGGGTCTCAACTTTAATCCACTGGATGGCAAGGGGCTTGAGGCCAGCAAGGCCAGCACTCCAGGCAAGACCAACACAAGAACTTTTCTCCCTGCACAGTAAACAATACACTATTTAGCTGATAGCCTCAGTGATTCTTTCTGAACAAATACAAAGAATAGAAGTGAATTTCCAGGAAGTAGCTCCTGATCTCATCCAGAATAATAAATTGCAAGATATTTTGTAGATTTTCAGCTGACATCGGAAAGGCTGAGCTAACAATCCAATTAATCTCAAAACAAAAACAGCCCTTAATCTAACATATATCAGCAAATTCCTGTTTCTCTCTTTTCTAACAAAAATAACAACACTGTAGTTGCCAGTGCATTAATAAGATCCTATTTCTGCTCCAGAGACTGAATCGAACCTTTGTTCTTCACAGCAAAGGATTAAGAAGGTTGCTATTTTGGTAATGAGATGTGGAGAGGTACTTACTTTGCAGCTGAGATCCAGGCTGGATGCCTGAGAAGGGAATAAACTGTGTTACCTCAGATGAACTTTATTTGTATAACCAGTATATCAAACTCTGTTAGTGTGATGCATATCATTAGCAATAAAGAGAGACTAATAATGAAAATTACAATTTGATTAGAGTTTAAGCTCATTTATAAAATATGCCTTATGCTGTAGATAAAGTGATGAATAGATTTTAAGAAAACAACACATAAGAAATTAGAAAAAGTAAAACTACTTACTTTCTAGGTTGCTATTGGCCAGTTGCTTTTTTTTTTTTTCTTCACAAAAATGTCCAATTTTTTTCCATATATCTCACTTCTTTTAGCAAGCACATCATGGAGAAATACTGTCATAAAATGACACATGAAGGAAAAAAAAGTGTCAGAAAAAACAGCACATGGACGGGGACAAATAGGAGAACACTGAAAAGAAGATCAAATCATATGACACAGATCCAAGTGCTGAGGCACCAACTCAGTGCCCAAAATGATTGAGAAAACTGTTTGTGAGGCTGGAAAAGGAAGGAGTGACCTGTGAAAATGAAACCAACTTAATGAAAACATTAGTCATATAAAAAATATGTTGTTTATAGTTATCATAATAACATTTTCATTAAACAAACATGTTTGGTATATAAAGCTGCTGCAAGTAAAACATTTCCAAACGACCAGGGTAGGTAAGGTAGTGTGGTTAGAACCTGGCACCATTTCATAATTACATAGGGATCAACTTCTTGCACTTAGAAATGGAAATGTTTGGGGCTGACATCAGAGGAGGTCTGAATTTCTAAATTAAAAGTATTTTTGTAACAAGATCTAGGAGCATCTTCAGATATAGCAAATACAAACAGAAGTCAAGGCAAACAGTCTCAACATTTCACTTGTATCCTGCCTATTGGCTGTTGACATGAGGAAGTACTTTGAAAACATGACAAAAAATTAAGCTATTTACTAACTCATTTCCAGTCTATCAGGCCAGCGTATTTCAAACACATATATCAAAGACCCACCATGATGCAATACAATCCCAGACAGAGCCAGAATGTCAGAAAGAATTGCTCCATCGGTCATTGCTGATATCCTCTGGGAATGATGATTTGCATCTGATGAAACTTGATCTCTCCTTCTCTAATGAATAGTAAGAACAGAATACCAAAAATCCACAGAAGTTCAGATATGTCTAACAGGTGCCAGATTTCCTAGGGAAACAAATCTTATGCAGTCAAGCTTTGTCTGTATGAGTGGTCCCATACATATTACCCCTTCAATAATCTTTTGGACATGATCACCAATTCCAGCTACATCTGATAAAAGCAGACACCTCAGAAACAATTTATTTCTTAACAACCTGCAGAAAAATCATTGGATGGGTGAACAGAATGGTGTTAGTAAGAATTTTAACCTGCAAAATTAAAGGTTTACTATGAACATAACCTATTAGGCTTCAGAGACTCTACTAGTATCAAGCTCTTGGGAATTTCCTAGACACTGGATAGGCTCCAACTAGAGCTTGTGCCTTGTTAGAAAACCAGAGAATCCAGTGCCATAGAATACAGTATACAGTATTTTATTTACTTCAAGCTAAGAGCAACTGTTTTTCAAAATCAACATCAGTACAAAAGAAATTGTGTTCACAAGTTTACATTTACAGGTAAAATTTTATTCAAACATGAAAGGAATTGGGCTCAGTGAAGAGGTGACAGAGGAATATTTTTTGGCCTGTAATATGCAGGCAGTCAGAATGTACAAACAGTTCTCACTCTTTGCGTCTACAGAACATGTTGATTTCCTTTTGAATCCTCCAGCAGGTTAACTAAACAAAATATTTATTTACAGCATAAAAGAGTTCGATGAAACGCTTCAAGGACTGACATCTGAGTATCAGTGTGAAGTTATGACAGAAGGATCCACACCCATTAAATTTTCCACTTTTACTCTGCTCAGAAACACCAGTATTGAGCATAACTGCAGATTATAAAATAACTCCCTCTTTGAATACTTTAAGAATTTTCAGCATGACTTAAGTTTCATATCATACTGGTTAACTTTCAATAGAAAGTGTTAAGGGCCTGGACACTGAAGGTTGATCCACAATGGTGCAACTTTGATAGGTCTCAAAGAAAGCTATTCTTAGAGAAAAGAAAAGGGATCCAATTGATGCAAGACTGGACACTCAGATTTAATATGCAGATTTTTCATAGACATCCCTAATATTTAGATATTCAGCCAACTAATGAAAATTCTTTGGACTCCTCCCTAGGAAGAAGAAGAGGCATCATGGTTAAACAAGATGATTGAACATGAAATTCTGGAAGTGGCAGTTTCATTAGGGGAAAAAAGAATATTTGAAAATTAAATTTGGCTGCCATATGGTGTGGGGAACTCAAATGGAAAAAAAGTGTCTTCCATGCTTCAGCTGAGTTCTCTGGTAGCTGACTGTGCCTGCCCCATGCAGCCTGTGAGGTTGAATGGACACCCCAGGAGGAGGCAGATACACAGCTGGGTGACAGCTTTAACAGCTGGCTTCCATTTCTAATGTACAGTCTGAGTTCTGAGAGTATGAATGGATACATAGATGCAGGGGTACACGTACACACATTTTTCTTTTACAATGCACAGATCATCATAAAATCACCTAAAATGCTCTCTCACTCTGTGCATAATATGTCTACAGACTCAGTCATTTCTATGACAATAGCCTTCTTTGTTCAAATTTTGTATTATCTCAGATTTCAAGACTTCATAGAAGTATAAAAAATAAACCCCCTGCTTCATTTAAACTATCATTTAAATGAAATGGTTTGGTGATCAGCAGTCTCTCTGTAGTACAGTTAGCAGACAATTCCCCAAATTCTCTCAAATCTCTCTTTCCCAAATATATAAGACAATGCCAAAGTCAAAATCAAAAATTACACCTGGTGCATCATTCTCGGTAGCAGGGAGAGGCCCAGGGTTCAAAACATCAGTCCCAGGTTATACCAATTTAAGAGCTGAGAAAATACAAGTTATATGCAAGTTGTATTTATATGTATAATTAGAATAACCATGGCCTTTCTCTGGCTTAGTGGCCTTTTATAGAAGCTGCAAAGGCAATGCATCAGTTCATCAGGGACACAGAGGGAGAGGGACAGACCTGACACCGAGTACCCTGCGCTTGCAGAAGCTTGGAAACACTGGCAGGAGGCAGCCTAGGCCCATCTTCACTTGAATCACAGGTGTTTGGAGTGCCCAGACTTGCTGAAAATAAAGCCATGGTTGTCTCCACTTGGGCAACCACACTTAGAAGCACTTTTTGAAAATGTAGCCTGGAGGAAAATGAGGGTTAGCGTGAAGCTGTCCTTGCTCCCAGGCCTCACACAGAGGCAGCTCTGTGGATGTAGGACTCCTTTTTCCCTCACATACCCTAGTCCATTGCAGTGAGGTGGGGCCAGAGGGAGGCATTTTCAGCCTTCAGAGGACCTTTATACTGTATTAAAAATATGGGTTCTTTAATGTTTCCTTCTCAAAAGTAGTAATATAAACTAACTGAGTGTGCTCTTAGGAGAGCTTTTGGCAAGGGTATGGGACAATCCTGTGCCAAACCTCATCTTTGGCATGAAGAAATAAACAGACTGTGGTTCTGCATAAAGACAAAACTTTTGGAAAGCCTTTAGAATATTTCTCATAATGAAATAGGGGGGGGTAGTTTTCTTGCAATTCTGAATACTCTCCAGAATACAAATCCAACCTTTAAATGTTTTGGTCTCTTCAATTATGAACTCAGCTTCTTCACTAAAAAATTGAAACAATTAAATTATGAATGATGGATATGATCTGATTTTGAACAATCCTCATTAAGGCTATTTCCATACCATTTAATCTGTGTATAGTAAATAGAAATATTGTATCAGATAAGAATTAAATTATTCTCATCACTCTACATTACAGAAAGGGAAACTGAGATTGAAAGATCATGTGCTCTGTCTGTCTAAAGCCACAAATTATTCACTGCCCAAAATAGCAGTGCCAGAATATTTTGCTCTGGCTGCTGAACCCTATGCTTCTTCATAGATGATGTTCCCATTCAAGGTACCTGAATGAGAATATTGTCAAAAAAAAAAAAAAAAAAAAGAAAAAGAAAAAAAAAAAAAAGAAAGAGGCCAAGAGGTCAGGTCTTGGACTTTATTTCTGCTTGCTCCCAATAGTGTTCAATAATAAAATTAATGGCAATGCAGATCGTATAGGGGATCCAGAAAAAAAGCAATCACAAAACTTTAGAAATATCTTAGTAAAAGGGTCCTGACAATGAGATTTCTCATTACATCATAACTTCTGTGCTATAGAATAGCTCAACCTCCCATATTTAGCAAATGAGGTCTATCACACATAGATCTGAAACACACTTAGATGAAGACTGAGCATCCAAAAGGCTACTGTGGTTTGCCAATACACACACAATCCTTTTGGACTACCCAACATATCATGAGTGTTATTGAAAGAAACTAAATACTTTAAGAACAAGTTTTAGAACATTTTAATAGTGTTCCTTTTTGATTTTGTGTGGAAAGAGATGCTGTTCTCTTCCTTTTGAGGATTATTTTTTCTAAGTACATTTCTAAATCCTATTTAGTTCTGTTTAACTCCAGCCTAGTAAACCCTTTGTGTGTTTCTTTCTCTCTCAAGCCTCTTTAAGCACTTTTCAACCCAACAAGGGTTTTGCTGTATTTTCCCTTTTTGATCTTTCAGAAATCAAGTCTGTTTGCATACAATTTGAAGAACTTCTCCCATATACATCCAAGTCTACTGCTGTAGTCAACAGAAAAGTTTCAGAATTAATAACCTATGAAAAATTAATGAGGCAATTCTCAACTCATAAAGCTTTTAAGTTCTCTGCTTACTCAAGAAGATATGTCTGTAGTGGATTCATTCATGCCAGATCATCAGCTTTTCTATGAAATAATGGCAATAATACAAAAAATGATTTAACATAGATGCCAAAGTTCTGATGTCATCATGGGACTGTTCAAGCTGGAACCAGGACTCTGCTGGAGGTCAATCCAGAACCTTGACACCAGTCCACCACTTCCAGAAAATGGACATACCTCAACTCCACAGCCTTCCACTACAGCTACATAGCTGACATTTTTTCAAGCATATCACTGCAAAAAGCAGTGGTTAAGCCCAAAGCTTCAAGAATTTCACTAAAAATGTACCAGTATCTGGTTATGCAAAGGCCTTTGGTTAAAGAATACATAAACTCCAAATACCAATGAGGCCTGAGGGTTGAATTTTTGGGGGTTTTCAGTTTAGGAATTTAAGTTGCATCTTACTGTGTGAAAAGAGAAAGCAAAAACAACTGTGAAATGGT